GAAGATAATCACGTATATGAGGTATGAGTAGAAGAAGTACAGCAGGAGTAGCATCACCGACATCAGGCCCACGAACCCCAGTATTAGTACCGCCGAGACGTTGACGTACGCCTCCTCTTCGGCGCCGGTGGTGGCAGTGGTAGAGCCCGAAGAGGCCGGCGATTGCTGTTTGTCCGCCGAGTCGGCGACGGCTGTAATGATAGTTAATTGGAATTTAGTTTTTAGAGAGAGAGAGAGAGAGAGAGACTGAGTGAGTGAGTCATACGTTTGGCAGACTTTTGGCGATTCAAGCGATAGATGTGATGGCGAACAACGCCCGACCAGAAGGCGCCCAAACACACGGTAAAAGTGGCCAAAAACCAGAGACACAGCACCGAGTAGTCGAACGTAAATCGGCTCGGATCAGACCACGGGTTGAACAACTTGATGGTCGACCACTTTAACCGCTCAATCGAGTGCTCACTGGTATCGGTAAACACCCCTACGCTGAACGGCGTGGCCAGTAGTGTCCGCTCAGTTATGACAATCTCTTTGCCAATGTCTACACCGCAGCCGACGGACACCAATAGACCGGCCAAACGTTTACCCGCAAAGTGATTGATTTGTGTAGTGATGTTGCAATCGGTGGTGAATTTAATGATCACAAACGTGTTGTTAGGCGGAGACCACGGGTAGGGGTATGTGTGGCCGCACGCGTCACCCGAGTAGGTCTCGTAGGGTAGGAATCGGTCCCGAAGTTGGTGTGTGGTTATGGAGGAGTTGGTGCCCGACGTGTAGTCTAAGACACAGTAACGACGCGCTGATTGGCCGCCGCTGTCCTGCGCTTCGATCACGTTCTGGCGCGGGTATACTTGACTGTCCAGTGATGCCAGTGTCACCCGAGCTGATCCACTCGCCATCAGTGCGATGATTAGTGTCCGCCACATGTCTTGAGATGAGTATTCCTCTGAGTCTGTGTCGCGCGTAAATGTCTTGCGATTTGTGTGACCAACAGCTGATGTTGTGAGCAGTGATGATAGTGTTGTGTGTATTGAGTGATTATCACCGAAACTGATCCCAAATCAACTGTTGTTGTCTTGTCTTCAGCTGTTGTCTCGCTGTGTGTGTCGTCTGTATTGACAGTTCACTACAAATAGCGCCTCAAAACTAGTGTTGCGTTAATGGGAATGCATTTGGCGTTCAGTTTAATGTGCTTTTGTCGCTATTTGTGTGTATTTTTGCAACACTAGTATGCGATCATTATTTGTATGGTAACCCATGGCAACCATTAGTATTTGTGGGCAACTCTTAGACAACGTTATGAATTGTTTTGCTTTTTAAGAACATTTCAACACTTAAATCCATATTACGGTAGTTATGACTGAGCCATCACAGTCTACTATCGTTATTATAAACAAAAACTAACACCAAGTTATTTATTAGAAAAATTATTGTGACCTAATTTGAATTTAATAAACTAGATAAAACAAGTAAGAAACATACGAATAAAATATTTTTCACACAGTTCACCTTGATAAGAGCAACGTTTTTTATCGAGATAATCTACTAAACACAATAGTTAACCGACAGTAGACTGTATGCAATGAATAAACAGTGAAAGCTATATATTCACAAACAACACACACACACATAAAACCACACAACTATAGGTCGAACAATTAGTCCCTTTACACACAACACATACTATACAAACCAACGCATAGCTAACGCATAAAACAGTACCAAATCATCGGCCATAGCATAACATGGAGGGGGCAAATGGGGGGCAAAAGTGGGCGACAAAAAGCATGTGTAATGTAAACACAAAACGCAATGATTTATTGTTTTTGGCACAAAAATACACTCAAAAAAAATCTCAAATCAAATAAAATAATAAATAGTTTTAATAAAAAGTAGTTTTCATTCAAACAGTTTGTGAGACAACAAACACATTGTGTGTCACCATTAGATTAGTTCCCATAGGATTAACATTAACCGTAACCAACCATTGCTATCATCAAACAGACCGGCGATAACTCACGTGTACTGCACCGGAAGACGACATCACCAGCAGCTGATCCGATGGCCATACCATCGAGCGATGACGAGGGCAACGGCACCGGTGGTACCGGCGATAACACCCGTATGAAGAGAGGGGCTGCCGCACTGATTGCCGGCCTGTCTCAGGACAATATGCTATACCTGGCCTTTGCGGCCATACAGGTGTTGGGCGTAACCATGATTACGCTGTGCGCCGTTTGGTGCCATAAATATCTCGATGGTTTCTCGACGGCCACACCCGAGCAGGTGTTCAATTATCACCCCCTGTTGATGACTGTGGGCATGTTGTTTCTTAATGCTAATGGTACGTGGTCATTGTGATTGTGATCAGGGTGATTGGTTTGTTTTTTGATTGAGCTTGATTAGTTTTAATTATGTAGTATAGTTGGTGTAAAGGGACTAATTGTTCGACCTATAGTTGTGTGGTTTTATGTGTGTGTGTGTTGTTTGTGAATATATAGCTTTCACTGTTTATTCATTGCATAAAGTCTACTGTCGG